AATCAATACAAAATATGTTCTTTATTTTGACGAATGTCCTACTTAGTCTATTTTAATGAAGACAAACTTTTCAACCCAGCGCATGAATATAATTTAGTTTAATCACTGATTTATTATTTAAAAGGGAAGAACAATTCATTCATACATTATATCTTCTTTTTTTCACAGAAAATTTTTAAAAATACTTATCTGTGGGCAGATACTATCCTTGTTGATCTGTGGAACTGCAGTTACTAGCCAACTTCTGTACGAGAAACATGGTGTGCAGCACCGACAGCACAGAGTTTTATTAACTATCTACTTCCTTGGGCTTGTCTATGGTATTCATCTTTTCTTTATCAGTGGCAGAGACGGGTTTAAAGAGATGTTCAAAGCAAGGTGGTGGAAGTATTTGTTTGTTGCTGCCGTTGATGTTGAGGCTAATTATCTAGTAGTTAAAGCCTATCAGTATACGAATCCTTACAAGTATACAGGTATACCATATACTCTCATGTCCCAAATAAACTTATCAGTACGTTTATTTTTTTTCCCGAAAAAAATCCACTCGGTACATTCTTATTTGGGACGGTACATTTATTGATTTTTCTAAAATCGAACCGATTAAAAAAAATCTTGATTTAAAAACAAAAATCATGCCTTTTTCCCATGGAAAACGAAGCCAAAAGATCGCACTAAAACATCGGTAAATCGCTTCCGTGTTGCTTTTACCATGACCTATGACCTATGGTAATTTGAACACGTGGGCACCATCCAGCATTTTGATTGGTTAATTAGCGACTTGACCTATCCGGTTAATAAAAGCGTCTTGTGTGCATGGATAACATGGGGATATCGTATCGCTTTGAGTGTTTACATGTGACCGAAAATCATTTTGCTTGCGATGAAAACTAAGTTGAATTTTACTTGCATTTCATAACAATTCAACGAATTTTGTTTTTGTACGTTATAATAATCACTACTGAGTACTAATCAACAATTGCAACACTTCGAAAACAAGTAAGTTATTCACTTGTGAAATACAGCATGACTGGATTGCGCTACCGTTACCGTGATCATTTGTTTGTTTTTATTCAAAACTTCTTTTAGAATATACCTTTCATTACCAACAAAATTAAAAAAAGTAATGCATATTAAATATACTGAGTATTTTTTGTTGTCTTGTTAACATTTTTTTTGATTGACTGTAATTTTCCAACATTTCGTGACGCCCATTATAAAACCAAATTTATACCTTTCACTCCTCATTGACGCCTATTTAAAAGATTATACGATATCTTGCTTTTCGCCAGCCCTGAAGGTCACCCTAGACGAACTCGATAGATACTGCCGACCATTCCGTGCATTTTTATCGACACACGGCGGCAAGCAAATCGAGAAAAGTATTGTCCTTGCAACAATTTCGCACAATAGGTCACCATTGTACCGTGACTGATTAATTATAATATTTATTCAACACTAAAACAAACTACAGTGAGTTTTTCTTTGGTCGTATATAAAAATAAAATAAACTACATTAAGATACAGTAAAGTTAACCAACTAAACAAAATACTAAATGAAGCTAAATAATATTACAAACACATTAAGAATCGCAATAAACTTGTACGATATGGTACAGTACAGTACGGTACAATACAATACACTAGCTACTATTGCTAAAGAGTGGAAAATCACATTAGAATCATAACTATGGTGGAGCTGCTCATATCTCATTTGCATACATTTTTGTATGTATTGCGCAGTTTCCCAACCAGGCTGACTCGGGTAGTGATTGGGTTGCTATTTCATTACATCTTGCGGCCTTTTGAACAGAGATTTGAAGTATATAGCTAGAAATGCATCATTTGTTGTCCATATATATTTCTAATTACAAGGAACAGTGAAAAGTTTGCATACACCAGTGAGAGCACATTTTAGAAGCAAGGAAACAATTTACCGGTCATTTTGGAAATTTTCCAAGGGGTATGTTTATTCCGGGGGGTATGTTTATTTGGGACATGAGAGTAATCTCTTGAATAGGTGTCACTCTAATTTAGGCATCAGGGAAGAGTGAAAGGCCTTAATTTGGTTCTAAAATAGGCGTCACAAAATGCTGAAAAATTACAGTCAATCAAAAAACTGTTCACACGATAACAAAAAAATACTTTAATGTAATGCTTTTATATTTTGTTGGTAACAAAAAGTATATTCTAAAACAAGTTTCAAATAAAAACACGAATGCACTGCTTAGTAGCAAATGATCAGGGTA